TCCTGAAACAAGCACAGAAGAAAACAGGGGCGCCTGTGACAGTGCTGTCCAGGCTTGCAGACCTCTGATGCGAGCAGCACAGGGAGCGAGGGTCTGGGCTCAGGAGGGGATTTGGTGCCTCTCGTGCCTCAGACACCACCGCGTGAGGTTACCAAGCCGGGTGGAGAGGGGAGCTGCGTTGCTGGCTGGGATACCTGCCTTTGAGGGCGCGTGTGCCCCAGCCAGTCCCTGCGAGTGTTCCCGGGAAGCTGGCAAGGATGCTGTATTTATTTTTACAAGGAAGGTTGTCCAACAGGCTGAAATGTTTATTTTTAAACCACCGCAGAGGGAGTTTGCCAGCAGCCGGACACAGGCTGAGCCTGGCACACGCAGCTGGGCCTGACAGCAGCATGGCTGCCGGGCACTGCTCCTTCCAGCTCCTGCTTTGGCTGCTGAAACCTAGTCCTCACAGCACCAGCGGTCATAGACTTGCACCCTCTCATTGCTGTGCTAAATGTCAGGTGGCGTAAATTTCCCTTGAAGACTTGAGACTTTCTCACTGACTCTACTAGGAGCTTGTTTGGCGGGTTATAGATGGGCCTTACGATTTCTTCTACGTGGACATCTGGTAAGAGTCATATCCCATAACGCCCCCAGTGCAACACAGTCATTCGTTTGGCCCCTCTCACACCAGCCGGCAGGAGACTCTTCTTCTTCCTTGAATGCATTTTTCCGCTCCTTTCATAGCTGGCTTTAAACACAAGCAAAGCAAGCTGTTGCCCGTAGCCTTCTCCTGTGGGTTCCTATGTAAACTTTGCAGCTGTGTTTTCCCTGTGTTTCTTAGCCCTGTCATCACCCCCCCCCTTCCTGACCTTCTAACATCCCTCTCGAAAGCAGCAATACCTTCAGTCTTATTTCTTACCAGAGAGGTCCTAGTGGCCTGTACCAGCCCTCCCCCTCTGGTTTCTCTCTTCTGTTTCTCTGCTGCAGCCTGCTCGTGGAATGATGGACAAGGCAAAGGTTGAGAAAATACAGTAAAATGCCTTTCTTATCCTGTAATGACCAAGGGGGAGGACACAGCCTGATAAAAATGACAAGCCAGTAGAACTGAGAGCCAGACCCTTCACCTGCCTGTCCTGCAGTGGACAGGGAACACCTGATCCACTTGCCCTGATTGCAGCTGCTGCGAGGCTGTAAAGAAAAGAATTATGCACTTGGCCAATTACAGCTACACATTTCTGGCCAAAGAAATGTCCTTCCTCTACCTGTGAAGAGACTAATTCAGAAACTTATAGGACAAAAACCTGAAGCAGGCTGAGCAGTGGGAACTGGCGGAAAATACCTCTACAGCCCTGTGTTTTATGGCCAGATAGGTGGCTTTGCTTAGAATCTGGCCTCTGCTTAGTCCCACTGTTGTGATGGAGGCTCATGTGAAGCTTAGATCCAGCTGATCATTTGGGCCTACCTCTTCAACCAACTATTTTACTTCAACTATTTTACTTTCCTCTCCTGCTTTTATTGGCATGATTTTTGAGAGCAACCCCTAGTGCTGGGTCACCCATTTCCTGCCAGTGAGTGACTGAGAGGAACATTTCATTTATTAAAGTGCCCCAAAGGGAGTCTAAGCTGCTATGCAAACCAAACACCAGTAGATTTGTGACATGGTGTGCTACTAACAAAGCTCTGTCCACTTCCCATTTAAACAATTCGAGCCTGAAGAGGCCACAGGAAGAGACTCGTGAGGGAAATAATAGGTATAGGACTTGCTGTATCCATATGACTGCTTGAAATAAGTGGTACAGAAACTTCTGTGGATTTTCTACTCTCCTTCCTTGCTCCTGAGACTGGATCAACAGTGAAGGCGGGCTGTTTCAGCCCCATTAGCTCTCTTCTGCTTAATGCAGGCTACCCAAACTCTCACCACCCTTGTGACTACTTCCAACCCTGCTCATCCAAATGCCTCCTTCATCTCAGGTTTTCAGGTTCTCTGGCTGGCCCTTTCTTCCCATACTCGCCATTAGTACTTGGGGCAAATAGCCTTCAAGCTGTACCATGTAGCTCACTGACGCTCCACAAAGCACTTGCCAGCTTTGCAAAGGATGGGCTGGTCACATAGTGTTTGTTCTCTCCTTGCTGCCTGTTAGATTCATGTTAAAAGCAGGTAAAAATGACCTTCAGTAGCTGCTTCTGCTCTCCCATGCTGTAGCCGCCACAGAGATGGTACACAATTGTAATAGGAGGAGAGGTAGCACAGGCAAAACATGTCCATTGGGCTATCTCTGCAAAGACATAGCCCAGAGCTTGATGCAGCTACAGTGTGGGCTGGGGAAGGGGGAGCTGGGAGACCTGTGCAGTGCAGAGCCATGTAGCTCAGGTTTGTCTCCACAGCAAGTTAGCCCCATGGATCAAACTGCCCTTTGCATCATGCTGTGAAGACATTGCAGACTCCCTCATAATTGGACTGCAGCCTGAGTGATGTGAAACATCCCCTCCCACCCCCGCTGCACATACCAGGATAAAACTTCACATAAAATACAGGTTTCACAGTCCTTTTTAACGAAAGAGGGAGAAAAAACCCTCCACAATGGAAACAGATTTGGAGACTGAAATACTTACTTGTGAAAGAAACGGACAAGAGAGCATTATATATTATATATTTGTACAACAAGTGGGAGCAGGGAGCCAAGGTGCTGAGGGTGAGAAGATGGACCGACAGCAAAATCCTTTAAATGTTACTGCACGTGCCAAGAGCTGAGTCTCATCCAAGCCCCATAGCCAATTTTCCCCTAAGCTTTAGGGATATCTGAAGGGACGGATCTTTTTTAACTGCTGTGGTGCAGCCTAAATTCCTACCTTTTTGTACTGCTAGAGTTAGAGGGGTGGGGATTCAGCCTAGGTTTTGCAGTTTGTACCTTTCTCTGAAAAAGGGCACACCCTAAAGAAGAGTTGATCCCCCGCAGTAAAGCAGGCCAGCCCTGCTCCTGTCTGTCTCTCAAAGGCCCTAAAAGAGGTAAAGCTCCTCTATTGCCAGAGGACACTTGGGAAGCCCCAGTCATCACACGTGGCAATGACCTGTTCAAGGAGATAGAGGGAAGGATGTGCCCCTGGAGTCAAAAGCCTCCATTAAATTCGAATTCACATTGAAATGTATGTGATTTGGATGAGAAAGCTTCTGCTATCTGACCAAAGCCTAAGATGGATTTCTTCTGCAGAAAGAAATCGCTAGGCTAGTCACACATCCAAACGTAGGCCCATAAGGGCCATGCTTTTCCTTTCTGAGGGCTCCATTTGAGGAATTTACCCCAGATTTCCCCATTTCAACCCCCCCCCCCAGTGGCTGCCGTGCTGTCGTCCTGAACAGCATCACCCTGGTGGGCTCCAGACATCGGGCCACAACACATCACGGTTCCTGTTGCAAAGGAGGGTAATGGCCTAATGTACTGGGGGCACCTTCATAGGAAGATGAGAACAAACCAGACACAACAGGTAAACTGGTCTCAGCAAGCGTTCAGCAACCAGGAGAGCTAACCCTGCTTGCAGGTAGCAAGGAGATAAAAATACAGGTAACCAAAAGGCCATCAGTGGTTCAAGCCCCCAAGAAAACGTATGTAGGAGGTATACAGGTCAATACTGTGAGCGCTAAAACCTTTCCACTAAATTAGAAAAGCAATGGAGGTGGGTAAACCTGTGTTAAGGATCTCAGCTCCTCCTACACAGACTCTAAAGATTAGCTCCATGGTGCAGCAAAGAGGCTCACTTAAGGGAGAATCTGCTCACAGCAAATAAAAGATCTTCCTTCCTTCCTTCCTTCCAGCAAGCTGAAATACTAGGGGGATCAGAGAGACTTGACTTTAGGTCACTCATTAGCAGTCGTTCCACCTATTTGCAGCAGTTTTCCTCATCAGCATAAAAGAAAAGGCATTTACCCAGCCAGCATTTATAATCTGACTCTAAGCAATGCCAACCTACAGGACTTTACTAGTAGTGAGCCCTGTAGGCTGCACCCATGGAGGAGGAGGTGCTTCTTCTTGGCTCCTCCTCCAGTATAAAGCTTGTTCCTGCTACCAGCTCTGCATCAAGGCCTGTGAAAGGTTAACCTGTGAAGAGCAGCTGCTGGTCTTCGGAGGCAGGTGTGGGTCATGCGGGCAGACAGCTGGAGCGGAGGTAGCTGCGGCTGGAAAGGACTAGTGGTGTGAGGAGCTAAACTCTCTTGGTTAGCAAGATGTGTGAGTGGGTTCCCACTTTTTGCTTTCCGTGGTTTGCTTTTCTGCTGGTTTGTGTTCTGCAATCCAGGTGCCTTCACTCTGTTGTGTTTCTGTTTTGTTTTTGCCTGGGATAGCTAGGTACAAACTCGCAGCCTATGAAATGTGGGCAAATTAATACTTTGCATGCAAGGGACATGCAGGCTGTGCGCCTTGATCAGCTTCTGTAGTAAGGGCTCCTTTGTCACCGCTCGGGTGTTTTACCCGAGGTCAGTGGAAATAAACACTGTGGCCAGGCAGCTTGGAACAATTAGCAGAAAATGTAAAGACAGCCGATTAGCCTGAGCTGACCTACCTGATCAGGCAGTGTCAGACAGAGCAAGTTGGAGGCTCTGAGGAGAGAGGCATCTTTCAGTGGGAGGCATCTTTCAGTGGGAGCTTTTGCAAATTCTGCACGGCAGCCTCCTTGACTGAGGCAAACCAATGCCATTCTGCTGAAGCCAGAGAGACACCAGCTGATCCTGGCTGCATACTTGGGTTATGTAGCCTTTTCGCGTTTATGCTGGAGCATTTTGTAATTTGCTTTGCACCCTGGTTAAGATTTCTTTGTTAATCTCCCTTATACAAAGCAGTCATCCTGAAACTATTTCTTTCCCCAATATTTCTGATGTTGCTAAGCAAGCGAATCTGCTTGTCTCAACACTACTTACTGTGTAGTTGCTACAATACTTTTCCGCCAAAGAACTGGTAACTACAAAGATCCCTGTGAAAATACTGGATATCCACAGCATGGGAGTGGCTCTCCACCAAGGTGAAGATCTGTCTGATATGGACATAGGCTAAATAGGGTCACATGTGTGCTCTGATTTAGGCAACACAGGCACACAGTGGAATCCCCTGAAATCAAAAGGAGCTTCCTATAAATGCAGAGGCCTATGTTAACATATCCATGTGCAGGATCAGAGTCTTACTTAAGCTGGGTCTGGGAAGCCAGGGTGTTTTTTTTTTCTCAGCTGAAAAGCATTTTAGTTTCCATGTGACCAGAGGACAGAAAAGGATTCTGCCTGAAAAAACTGTCAGCAACTGAGCAACTTCTTTTTGGTTTTGTGATCGCTGTGTGACCAAGCTTAAACATTCTGGGAGCATTTGTACAGATCCATTAACTTGTTTGCAGCGCTGGTGAGTCCTGAAATAGCAGACGTCAGACCTATGACTGGTTCTTCGACCTAGCAGTGCTATTTTGGCAGCAGGCCCAGGGTTAAACATAACAAGAGTCATTTTCAGTCCTTGCTCTCCTGAAGGTCAGTGGCCCAAATGGCTGGATGTTTGTCTTAGCTGTTTCCGGACAAGGTCTGCGTTTTGTAATGATAAGGCAAAATTCAGAGATCCTCATGTTGGCAATCTCCCACTAACTCTAATTAGAAACCTTGTTTTCCCTGAACAAGGATGTTGGGATTTGGTCACTGGCAATTTCTGTGTTTTGACTATGTCATTTTGAGCAGGGTATTTTGTTGTTGTTGCTGTTACAAAGGCTCACTGCTGCCTTTTACCTCCAGTCAATGACTTTCATAGTGTAGCGCAGCTCGTTCTTAGCGTTAAGTCTAGTTTATCAGAATCATCCACTCTCAAGTGAGAGGCTTGTCTGCTGAAGCCCCGTGGAAGAAGCACTCTCTGTCTCTGCGTTAGCAAGGAGCCTGGCTCACTCTGACTTGCCAGTGCCTTCTGAGATGGCTCTCCTTCCTTCTAAAGCTCCCTCAAAAAGCTGTCAGAGAGGTCAGCTATGAACTGGTCCCATTTTTTCTGCCAGACCTCTTTGGCCTTGGCTTTCTCTTCAGGTAGCATGGCACTGTATCTGTGAGGAGAAGAAAAGTCAGTATGAGACAAGAGAGAAGAAGGCAGGGGGCAGCTATTTCAAGATCAGTGACCAAAATGAAGAGGCAGGAAGCAGCTACAGATTAACCCTTACAGAACAAACCCACACTGCACAGAGTAACACAGTGTAAGGAGTGAGCTCCTGCTGCTGCTCCTGCTGGCTGGGCTCATGCTGGGACCAGAGTCATGCACTGCAAGGACAAACCACCTCAGCCTGAGTTAGCTGGGGCAGGGGGGTCTCTGACCAGCAGCCAGTGGCTGGTGCAAAAAGGGACAGGCCTACTGTTGCTTTGAGATTGTTCCTGGACTTGGTCCAAATCAGTAGGAAATAAGAGTATTTGTCATCTCCCCAGCCATGCGGGGGCTTGGGGTTGACATGAGGATTGGCACGGGATTTGGCAAACAGACAAAACTCTAGGAATGTGCCAAAAGAGACTGGGCACCATGTCCAAACTATTTTGGGACATTCACTGGTGTCCAGATAAACAGAAAAAGTGGTTAAACACACCTAAATTACATTTTGGCAAACCGTTTTCCTTTGTTTATTCACTGGGCCATGGCAAACACCAGAGCAAGTCAAATTCAAGCAGACGTAGACGAGTGATATAAAAACATAACATTTCCCCCCCTTCCTAGGACGAGGTGTTAGAGGTAACTTCACACAGGATGGAAAAGGGGAATAGCCTGAGGCACTGGGTTAGAGAAAGGCTCTCTAGGGCATGGACAGAGGAGATTCTGGGGATCCCATCTCCTGCTCTTGGTGGAGATGCACAGAGCAGGCTTTGAATTAACAGAAACCCAGTCTATGTGGCAGATGAGGCTCTGGGGCCAAAACCCAAATAAGGTGGGTTTCCAGAGAGCAAGCTGATATTCCCCTTAGTATTACTATGGCTAGGGAGGTAAAGAACTTACTTTATAGAGTTGAGTGCAAGCTGTTTTAAGGTCCTCAAGTCGGCATTCATCCCTCCGATGGCCATGAACACCTCGTAGAAGTCATAGGAGACGCCCTTTGCCCCAAAGATAGGGGGATCATCGGGGCTGATCACAATGGGGTGTCCTTCAGCCATGAGGCTGGCTGCGGGGTGGTTCCGCAAGTCAGCTACTAACAGCAGCACCTCAGTGAGGAAGGATGAGAGATAACACCAAGTCTGGTTATTGCTGTACCCATGGTTGCACTATGGCACCCATCACACCACATCCTTATACCTATAGCTGCCGGTGTCAGCTGCTAATCATCAGGGAAGAAGAGCCTCCAGAGGGCTATTCAGAGCATATTAGGCATCTGCTCTGAATTGGTGCAGGAGGAGCTTACCTTTCTCTACTGACTATACAGGGAGATTGGTCTCTTAAGTTAATCGCCTAAATCAAAGCCAGCGATGTGAATAACTTCTGCTTATTTATAATAATTTAAGTGCAAGTGATTCAGTAACTGTCTTTTGGTTGCTTACAAATTTGCCATGACACTAAACACGGGGAATCAGGAAATGGTATCAGGGTTGTCTCCCTCAAAGCCCACATGGGTACATCTCCACCCCAGAGCAGCTCTTCTGCTGCGCCCAGGGGACAACATGCACCGTGCAGCTGTGTTACAAAAGAGTTATGAATTCTGTGAAACCGAAAGGATCCCCAGTTGCCATCTCAGCTTCTCGACCTCTGGCTCTCCTGCCTTTAAAGTATTTTCCATTTTGCCTCTAGGCACCTCCCTGGTTCTAGGCCTCATTGTCTTCACTGGGGAAGACTGTCTGTCTACCTAGGCCCCTGTGGATAGGGATTTAAGAGATTTTGAGCTGACTGGTGGCACAAACCTTACACATAAACAGAGTGTGCCTGCGCAGCAGGCTGCAATGTAATGTGCAAAGAAAATTTAGCCAACCTGGGTGCAACAAAAAATGTTGCTGTCATAGCCTGGAGCCCTCCAACTCCCTGCTGCTCCTAGCTGCTATCACGGAATCACAGAACGGTTGAGGTTGGAAGGGACCTCTGGAGATCATCTAGTCCAGCCTCCCATGGCTATGGTAAATCCAGTTCCAGTGTCCCAACCCCTGACTTAAGACCTAAACTTTTACCCACATACCTGGTTGGAGATAGGACAGACTTCTATGGGAATATCCCTCTTCAGAGATAAATTTTTGACTACTGGATGTTTAATGAGGGCGAGTCCATGGCCAATGCGGCTGGTATTCAGTAGCAGAGCGTCCAGCACATTGTTGTCTACAGATGTGCCCTGCCAGTCTGAGGAGAGACAGATAAGAGTCATTACTGTGCTATAAGGAAATACATCTTCTCAAGCTGCTAGATGGTTTTGTTAATAAAAGCATCAATTGCAATGTGAGAGGCTTTCTCATGCTCCAAGTTCCAACTTTGCTTTTGCAGTCAAAGAGGGATACAAATTTGCCTGGGACATTGCCCAGCATGGAGATACCCATTTGTCTTGCCTAACTTTTGATGTGCACTGTATCTCCCTTAGAGCTAAGCTAATCACCCTGGGCTCTCTTTATAGTCAAGGGAGAGATGTAATCATTTTTAGTGTATGACCTATTTTAGACCTCTGCTTTAGCATGAGTTGAAATGCACTTTAGAAGTGCCTGTTACTGTTCACGACTATAAAGGGAGCCCGGGGTGACTAGTTCAGATGTAGACATCTTCTCTGTAGATGGCAACATTTAATAAGCACAGTGTAATAGTTAGACACAACTGTCTTGCACAGTAGGTTAAATCCCATCCATACAGGCTGAATAATATATTGCAAATAAGCAGGCTATCCCAGAATGAAGGGCAACAGCCAGCTATTTTGGTAAGTGTATTCAGCTAAGACTTGCAGCTGGCTCAGACATTCCTTCATATTAAAATGTAAAATAAAGGCTGATGAATTCTGTTGCTGTGGATGGGAGGTGGCTGCTGCTCTAAGGAGGTAATGGCTGAGTCACACCAGCAATGATTCCTCCTGCTGCATGACTCCAGGTTACATACATGTCGAAGAAGCTGAGCAACATGAAGCCTATAGTTAAAAGCAGGGAGCAGGCATGAGAGGTGGCATGTAGGAATGCGTCAGCAACACGCTGATGCTGGAGAAGCACAGGGAAATCGGATTATACAAACACACGTGCATTTGCATGCATGCACACACACACCCATCTTGACACAGCCAGGCTTGCTGCTTCTGTGCTTTGCAAGTCTTTACTGCTTACAGAAGCAGGAAGTGATGTGGGGCTTGTGTCCTCATGCTTACCAGTCTCCCCAGCATGGAAAAAGTATGGCAAGTTGACCCCCAGGGAATATGGGATGGTCAGGGCATCCTTCAGCTCCCATAAAGAATGACCTTCGTCCTCATTGCCTACCTAGGGAGGAGACAGAGAAAAGATATTTTTGAATGTGCTCTGGAAGATGGTGGAACTCACAGCTGGAAATCACTACATGGTGCCAACTGTACTGAAATTACAATGTTCTGTTTTAAGGGGAAGGTGCTTGATTCTTTCAGGTCTTTTTGTTAACTACCCTCAGCAAAATCCTTAGCTAGAGGATTTTTGACTCATTTATACTGATTTCAGTAGAGCAGCAGAGGATCTGGCTCTGGTATGAAACATATGCCATGCATACAAGTAGTTATAGTGCACCTCTAGAGGCTAACTCAAAGTCATGGAAGAAATACAGTTACCAGGTCGAAGCCTGCCAGGAAGTCCGGGAAGCGGGCTCTGAGTGCCATGGCCGTGATGATGGCATCTTTAATCTGGGAAACGTTCAACATCCTAAACAGCAAGAGAGAGAGAGAGAGAGAGCAGTGCAGAGGCTCACTTCCATGGGCCTGCCTTGTTTGGGTTTGTTTGAATTGTGAACAGGTGCCCCCAGGGGTATTTCCAAAATGTGAAGTCCTCCTGAATCTAGCAACCAGCTTCAGGTCTCCAGAGTAACAGCAGTAGAAAAATAGTATTATGAAAGGAAACCCCTGCATGGCTAGACCATGCAGTCACTTAAGGTAAGGCACACTTGTCTAAGACTCAACAGCTTTCCCATATACCAAGCAGGGAACAGAACGGCATGAAAAGAAAATGTTTAAATATTGTTTTCCCTCTCTACTATTTTGCTAGAAGGTGGGAGAACAGCTGCATTTAAATAGAGTTTTAAAGTTAGGTTTCTTCCAGCCCTATTGGACTTCAACATCACAATGCATTTTGCAGACAGACACAAGCTCACTTTGTCCATATCCAGGCTGGCCAGAGGCAAGCCAGCTCTGAACTGGAAACTGTGTCGTGCGGAGCTGGAGCGAGTAAGTGCTGCTGAGAGGTATGTTATATTTGCTCAGGATCACCTCACATGACTTCATGGCATCTGGCTGACTCGGAGAACAGCCTTGTATCTGACTGCAAACAGCAGCATGAACATACCATACAAAGGCTGCTGGGAGAACAGGATTTGCAGGGTCCTGCAAGGACCTTTGCAATACAGAGTGCCCATACTCGGGCACTTCGGCCGCTGCTTCAGCTTCCAAAGAGGGAGAGTATGTCCAGGCACAGGAAGAGAAGACACGCAGCTTGGACACGTACGCACGCAGGAAGCCTTCCCCTTGCTCATTCTTGCACCCAGGCGCTCACAGATGCTTGCCTCTCTAGGCACACACCATCAGCTAAACCTGGTTGTTCTGCACGTACACAGGCTTGTAGGGATGATTTCTCATCCTCAGCCTTCTACGAGTGCCAGGAAATGCTTCAAGAGTCAGTACCCGAGGTCTAACAACCCATGTAGGCATTGCTAACAAACTGTAGCGCTTCCAGGCTGTCACTCAGAAAGCATTGCTTCTCCTCACGCTGCCGGGGCCACTCTCTTCCCCCACCATCACACCCACTCTCACATAGCTGGTTATGCCCCATCGCTCTTAGCCGTGCTCAGCCTCTACCTGTGTGCTGTAAATATAATCTTTGCTCCAACAAAGTCAGGGTGATCTTTCACAAATTGCTTGGTCACTTCCTGATATGTTGCCATGGACCAGGACTTATTGTGCCGGGTGCCATCCAGTTCGTATACCTGTAGGACAAAGAAGTACATGGCAAACAGGAGTTAGAAGAGGTGTTTTGTTAGAGGGTGGGAGAAATGAACCGAAGAAAACTTTCAGAGAAGCAGTCTGCTGCAGTCCTGGCAACAGGACAGAAAAAAAAAGCAGTTAAAACTTCAGAATATTTTCATTTTGAAGCCTTTATTGGCTGGCAAGAACCAAGGAGTGTTTTTTTCTCCCTGGTATGAGATACAAAAAAACTAGTTTCTCCATGTTCAGACATGGCAAGCAGTGTCCTTGGGTATCCTGAGAAGACCACAACTCATGTATGTATCAAATGCTGGAGCATTTGTCCAGCCGTCTGGCTGCTCACAGGTACTCTGTGCCTTGTGGTGGCAGTCTGTCAGCAAAGGCAGGCCCAAAGCATGCAAGGGCTGGGCTCCATAAGCTACCAGCTGGGCTGGACTTCAGCTCCCCTCTGCCTGAGGTTTGCTCTGCAACCTTGAGTAGGTCATTGAATCCTTCCATAGTTTCCCAGTTCTCTGGCTGCAAACGGGGAAAAATAATCCTTTTTGCATGCTCTGTTTCATCAACTTACCTTGCGAGTTCCTCGCTACTAGGACTATGTGCAGGGCTTTTGCCCTCATTTCAGCAGGGGTGTAGACCCTACATGCCCCAGTTACTACTAATCTGCAAAGGCAGTGTCAGGAGCTTGTAACAAATGGAGGCCGAAATCGCTCAGTCCATTCTCTTCTTTTCCTTCTTTCCTTCCTTTCCTCTTTCACCCTTCTCCTCCACACCTAAACGGGTTTGCTCCACCTTCTTATTTTCCCACTGGTGCTGCTCCCTTGCATTCATTGCAGTTGCTGAGCCCCTGCACCCCACATGGTGTTCCCCTTGTAGGCACCAGGAGCCGCGGGGCGGCTGCAGATTATCAAAGGGAATTTTCCACTACTGCAGCTTTCAGGAATCTGAGACTTTACACAGCTGAATTTGCAAACACAGCTGGGTTTGGTGGGGCTTTTCTACAGTGTTTGCCATTTCGCACTAAATCCTGACTTCCATTTACTTGTCTTCAGTGACCGCTTCCGGCATGCTTTGCTGCAAGGCCAGCTTTTGCAGAGTGTCGGTGCCATTGCCCAAGCCTTGCGGAGGATCTCTAGGTGCGCAGGTATCTGACTGTTCCCATCACACCCTGCTCACCTTGTCTTTCACACTGAAGTGCTTTTCTTCCCTCTCATCTCCAGTTTGGCCTCGCTGGCTCTTCCCTGCCTGCACCGCTCACAGAGGCCAGGAGCTCCCAGATCCTCGCAGCCCTTGCAGGGCTGCCCTGGCTGCAGGCCGCCTGCCTGTGCATACCTCGGGGCACGCCGAGCTCTAGGTGCAAACAAGCTCGGGGCTCTGGAGCCTCCCATGCCTGGAGCCAGCAACAGGGCCTGGATGGGAAGCAAATCTGCTGTGCCAAGCCTCCCTTCGGAAGACATTACATCCATGTCTAATGGCTGCTGGTAAATGCAGGGTATTTTCCAGTCAGGCCCACACACTCATTTCATTGCAGATATTCTTGGCCCAGAAACCTCTGTGACCTGGGGGCATGCCAGCACTCACGCTGTCTCACAGCACAGGAATTTTGATATCGCTATTGTTTGCTCTTTCCAGGTACCCCAAAGACAGATGGCGACCGAGCTGGTTCAGGAGAACTGGCTCGTGACCAACCCCCAACAAAGTAAGATGCATATAAGCTCTGTGGTTTTCTTCCCCTCTTTTTGCCTTTTTTTTTTTTTTCTTTAATACACCATTCTCATTTCAGGCATGATAAAGCGTGCCAGCCCGCAGCCCTGAACACCACAGCCCTGTTCCTCCGTGGGGCCAGCCTGAGCCACAACAGGGCAACGTTAGGCGGCCCGCTCCCCAGCTGTTGAGGTAGAGGCACTGACAAAGCTAGCTCAACCTCCGATTTTGTAACAGCGCCTGTCTGCCTGCCGATGGGGTGGCTCTGGAGGACTCCCCGGCAGCGCCGATGGTTGCTGGGTTGCAGACAGTCATCTGCAGCTGGCCTGAGCCTGCCAGCCATTTCACGCAAGGGTAATGATTTAAGTAAGTTGCTGGCAGACACATTCTGGAGTCAGACTATCGGTGAGACATTAGCCTGGCTGCTCTGTCCTCTGGATGCTGTGTTCCCCTCAGCGAGCTGCTACCTGCCTTCCAACAAGAGGCCCTGAGCTGCCGTGCCCCTTGGGTGCTGCCCAATGGACATCGCGTAGCAATTTCATGCCCGTTTTAATGGACTGTTTAGAACATGGAAACGAGTGGTGTAATTAGGAGTGACAGCCCCAGTTTGTTTATTTTGATAAGGAATTTGCCTCTCTTGCAAAGCTCCCACCCGCACAATCTCCTGCTTTGAAAAATGCATGCCTGCAATGTGGAAACAGTCACAGAGGAAATGGCAGTTGTCGTAGCTATAAAATGGGAGTAGAGTCTGCTGGCAGTTGGGATGGTGTCGGGGCAGTGTGGGATTGTACGACAGTCTCACTGGCTCTAGGTGATATGCAGGGAGAAATGTCCAAATTACGAACAACAGATTTTAGTGTTGATGTGTTTCAGTGTTAACAGTTCATACCTCACAGAGCTAACATTTTAGGCTGTCTGCACGCTCTGGAAGACTGTGCTTTGCCAGTTAGCATTCTAACCTATTCAGAGACGTCATTCTGAAATAAGCTGTAGGTTTAAAATAATGTAAATATTACAAGATGGAAATTATTCCAGAATAGCTACAGCAAAACAGGTGATTCTGGTGCAGACAAATCCTAGATATCTTTCTAACCAGAAAGATTAGATACAGTTCCAGGTCAGAGTCTACAACACAGTTTTGCAGTGTTGCCACAGTAGATATCTTCCTTAACTGTTAAGAACAAAGTACCTCTCATTTTCAAGCCCCTGAGTATGCAGATCTCCAACAAAGGCCTTTGAATAGGATAAAGCTTTTCCAGCATCCTTACAAGGCCAGGTATGCAAACATTCAAAAACTAAATTCAAGATAGGGCTTGAGAAAAGTTACGGAGAAACAAGGATTTAAAAGAGTGCTAGAGAAGCCAAAAAATATGTACCGCAGGCAGGAGAGCTCTTATCTCGACGTACTGTATGTTATCCTCATAGAGTTCCAGCAGCCCCTGGTAGAAATAGGCCTTGAACACAGGTGCATAGCAGATAAGGCCAGAGGCAATGAGAAAGACTTCTTCAAATCTTCTCCAAATGTAAGTCTGAGAAGGGTAGGCCAGCTCAGGGGCATCCGTCACCAGGGTCAAGTTTCTCAGCAAGCTAAAGAAAAGGGTGAAGGGAAGAGGAAAAATAAGAAGAACAAACAAGTCAGCTGGGTGTCAGTATGCAAAAAGCCACCAGCTAGCAATTCAGGTGTCCTCTACAGGAGGGAATAGGATTCCAAGATAGGTGTGAGTTTTATTATCAGAGACCAAGCTTTGCAGACATGATAGTCTCCCATTCACATCCTCTGGGGTGAAGTAAGGCAGCGGTGCCCAACTGTGCTGAAGAAGGCATGCACGTTGGGGAGGACCAAGAAGAGGTGAAAAGCAAATCCTGCCACAACAGGGGCCCAATACCTAACTTGGAGCCTGTTGGCACTATTATACAAACAGGTGTATTATACAACTGGTGCAACTGTGAAGCATTCAGATAGGTTTTCTACCACTTATATTTGCTCTGTATTTACTTTAATATTATATATGCTAATATACTTAACGGTTGGTACAGATAATAGCTGTGCCCTCTGACAGGTAAAAAGTCATACCTTACAAATTAAGCTTCACACAGCTTATGACTAGATATGCAAAGTACCCGCCCCTTCCTTTTTGAGGGTAAAATCTTGAAGAGTAATGTAAGAGTTACAGAAGCAAGTATGATGACTTTATATCATAAGAATTGCACTCTGCTATGCCAGAGGATTCTTAACCCAACAGTAAGCTAATACCTTACTCCTGCAGACAATGTATTTTCCCAAACATCTTACATGCATGCAAAAAGTTGTCACATCAGCACCTCTGGTTACCACCTAAAGGCAGGTAGAGTCTCCAGGAGACACCAGGGTGCTGGGTCACCAGCAGCCTGCTTACTAAACCTGTAACTTTCCCTGGTACCTTTGTGTCATCAAAATGTGTCATCTAAAATAAGCAGAGGAGAAATGACTGTGAATCGGAAATCCTTTTTCACCCTAGTGAAACAAAGCTGAAACCTTGCCTATTAAATGAAAGCTCATGCTTTGCTGATAAGTTTTTCAGATTTGTCTGCTGGGAAACAACTGGTAAGAATTGTGGGTCCTGCCTTTCTCCTACTGGGATGGCAATGTATTTATTTCCTTCAGACTTTGCTGGAGGATAAGCCTCTTTAAGAAATCCAGAGAGGAAGCAGGTTGTTTTATCAAGCAGAGTTTGAGGGAACCAGTAATTGCAAGATTGTCGAGTTGTGGGTGCAGCTGTAGTTGAGCATTTGCATTTAGGACAGAGTGAAAGTCTGTCTGTGGGAAAGCTTATAGCTTTCATTCTGCCTGAAACTTTTCCTCTGGCAATAGGTCTCCTCACTTTTTCAGTTGGCTACCTGAAGAAGCGTTTATAAGAAATTTCTCAGGCTGGAGGGCAAAGTCTAAATGACAACACAGTGAGCAATTGCCTTCATTCCTGGGTGGACAAACTAAAGCCATCAGAGTTAGTTACGCAGAAAGGTGCTTGAGGCTCATGGTCTTACCGATCCCACTAGGCCTGATATTTATCTAGTCTCAGAGGCTATGCAGGTTCGGACAGAAATACCTTCGGCCATGCTTCATCTTTCATCCAAGTTTTTGGTTTCCCTTTGATAACTGCGACTGATCTTTAATAATGTTTCATGTTTGATGTCTTGCCCCCCCCAACCTACCACAGTGCTCTGTTCTGTTCTATGGGAGATGTGGGTTTGATTCGTGCTCCTATTATCTCATTCCAAGAGGCTTCTGTGGATGGAACTAAAGATCTCCCTCCTACAGATCTGAAGTGTGATATGGTCCAAACTTATAAACTAAGACGTCCTGGGCAGGGACACCCCTTTGGAGTCCCTCCATACGGGCATAAAATGGAGCTGTTCCTCCAGCATCTGTGTACTGGCTGCTCTTTGGCTCTCCAAGGAACCACTTCCAGGGGCTGTAGTTTCATTTCTTCTTTGCTCTGTTAATTTGTTTGCTGGGGACAATTTTAGAAACAAAGCTGTATATAAGCAGAGACATTTGTACCACGTTAAGGATGAGATTTTAAATGCGCAACAGGCAGGAAATTCAGAGTTAAGGTTTCCACAGCAACTTTAGCTCTGCCCTCTTGCGCATTACAATAGGGCCTTTTGGTCCATTATCACACAACACTGGGCAACCCCAGATACTATTCAGTAAACAATGCAACAAAATGGAAAGGAACTGAACCATAACCAGGGAGGCACATGTGTAGTATTTTGTACTGCGGCCTGCAGTGGCGTTTGGCATTTCAGACATGTTCGGAGGAGCACTGAGGAGTGACATTGTAGCATCACCCCTAGAAACCAGGAATGCAAGAGCCAGAGGCATCTTTAAAGAGCTTATCTGACTGACAGAGCACAGTCGGAGATTGGCCTCAAGCGGAGCGGGTGTGCGCCAGCTCGGTAGGGAGGGGAGAGAAGATTTTGTGTGGGAAGAGCTCGGGCTACACAGCCAAGCCTCTAGGAAAACGCGGGCGCAGCGGTCCCGTTCAAACCAACTTTTCTGCTCCCTTCCTCGCCTAGCCTTGCTCCCACGCTCCTGCCTGGGCCCGGCCACAGGGACTCCTCACAGTCCCCGCACAGCAGCGGAGATCGCCAGCCTGGAGCAGCAGGGCATTGCTCCCTTTAGCACTGGAAACACTGCGGGAAAAACCTCCATGTGGATCAAAAGATCTTGCAAGCCTATTCTCACCACCATGTAGAGCTTCGTTTTAGATAAGGACCAACAGTTACTTGGGATCCAACTATTTTTTCCCAGTGTCCATGAGAATAGACTCCTTCAACAAAGAGCACTCAGTACTCCACTCCTTATTTTTAAATCTAGCTGGGCAAACTTGGGGTTGTTTACTTAGCCTGTGCTCTTGGGTTAGATACAGCAATAAATCCCCACACCACTGTGCTCCTAAAAGCACATAAATCATATAATGTTTTTTATGATCCCCTTGCCTTTGAGACTGATTATTGATCCTTAGAACTGTGAAGATTTATTAGGTAACAGTGAGCCATGCTTGATAACAGGATAATCACTTACGGGTCCAGGCTGATAATTTTGTACCAGGAGCAGTTGATGCAGATGAAGCAAAGCTTCATAAATACATTTTTGATTATTTTCTGGAATGGAACATACTCGGTGATCAGGTGCAGACTACAAATAGCTTTCTATGTCATATCATATATGCAGTGAACAATGTTACTGCAATGCATATGCCCAAGGGGGCACAACTAGAATGACCAGCTAAGAATTATTTATTTTCAACTGTGTTTTTGCTTTCTTTTTTCCTGTTTTTTTTTTCTAACTGTTTTGTTTCCTTGTGCTGTATAATACCAGAGTGAAAGGTTGCTTTTTCTTGTTTTTTAAATGTATTTTTTTCCTGCTTCTTTTCTATTCTGTATGGGTAATTATACCACTCTCCTCACTATAGTATCTGAATGTCTTCCAGTGGTGCATTAAATAGGGTGACTAACATCTGTCACATGTGGTTCATTCGTTCTCTCTCTTCCTCTCTTCTTCTCGCCAAAGGGAGACTTGTAGAGGGAGTAGAGTGTTTTGTTTCTGTAGTGGATTTTTTTTTTTTTTGGTAATGTACGTGCTGCCCTATTTTTCTGTTAGCTAGGGCAAGTCAGAGGACATGAAGGGAAGGGAAAGGTGCTGGAGGTTTGGGCAGCCGTTAGCGCCCTGGGGAATTCTCTCCATCGCCTAGGCCTGGCCTCTGTGTCAGCTCCCTCACAGATGACTTCATCCGTATGATAGAGAGCTCCACTGGGCCGCAGGAGCTGAACTGCTGGGCACGGCCTTAATCCTTGCTACTAGGCTACTGGGGGGAGGTTATTTCACAAATATCTGGAATGTCAATGCTAAATATATCACAACATGGTTATTGTGAGCTCTCGCTTTACAAACAGTGGCAATTACGTTGCATCTCGAGGAAAAAAATGGCACTCTCTTATGTCAAAATTAATTGTGAAGTAAATAAGTGAGGATGTCTTTTTAACTCTCAGAGCAAAATTCCCTTCCTTTCTCTTTCTCCAAGCCCACAGTCTCTTGACTCTTGTGATAGCATCGCTTTGGAAGTTTACCAGTAATAGAACACTCCAGGGTCTTGGCCCATAGGGCTTGTGTTTTGAATATGAATGATAAAAGCGTCTTTTGAGACAAATAAAAAGACTGACTTGCAGCAAATATCACACACACACACATAAAAATATAAAAATACAAGCAACAAAAATGGTACATATCTCACTCACTCTTCCCTTGGTGATCAGCAATGCGGTAAGGTGAAGGAGGTGCATCTTTTAGGAAACAGTCTCATTGTTCCCTTCACATTTACTGAGCCACGCTATCTTGCATGAGAACCCTTCCCTACTGCCATATTCCCTTGATAATTTCTTGAAACCACCCAACTATCCATCCATTCCTTCCTCTGACATCTGCTTTCTCTCAGCTTGTCAGTGCTCAAGGGCAAAGAGGAGTGCAGGGAAGAGGTAGCCTGGGATGCACATGTTCAAGAGACTGGGAGAGTTTCCAGAAACTGAGAAGCAGAACAGATTGGGGCCTATTCCTGGCTAGAGACCGATTTCCAGACGGCCAAAAAACATTCCTAACCCCTAGATTAGTACCCAGGGATTAGATCAAAATAGGAGGGGAAGCTCCTCAATGTGGCTGTTGTTCATGTGCCTGCACATTATGTACAATGACTCCTTTGCAGTTTCAACATACTCAAAATACAACATACTCAAATAAAAAAGTCTGAGCAACCAGGATGCAAGAGAGCCAGGTTTTTGTACGTGGCTCTGACATTCATTTGCTGAGGAAAATCACTGTGTTGGTCTCTGCCTCAGTTTCCCCTTCCACCCTTGGTGAGACCTCTGTAGCAGGGTCTGCATCCTGTAATTGTACAGAGCCTACCACGATGGAGTCCTGCTTTGATTTGCTGTTACTAGACATTCTTGATAAACAATACAAATGAAGAGGAATGTGATGATACTACCTCTGAAAAGAAGTCATGTTCCCAAACAGGACCATAGGGAACCAAGCCATGCACAGCTCCACCCTTATTCTTCTGCAGGATGTCATGTCACCTAGCCTCAGTCAGGAAGGGACATCACACTACGTAAATACAACTAAAAATAAATACAGTGAAGGGTTGCTCCTAAGAAGGTTCTGAAATACCCAGTGTGATTGCTTGTGCCTTAAGAAAGCGAAGCTATTTCAAAATCTAATCTCTTGTACGTGAATTTATGGGTCTCCTGGTGGGGTTGAAGAGGGCTGGTGCCGTGGTATTTCTCTCCTCATCACTCCCAGTTGAAATGGAAAGGAGCTAATGGGAAACCAGTTTTCTCTTTAGAACTGCATAAGTGACTTCTTACTGGATATTATTTCTTCCATCACACATCAGGGCACCTGAGCCTTGGTGTAGAAAAGGTGAGGAACCCTAGGCCTAGCACTACTTTCTCCTTCTGATCTGGAAGTGCTCAGTATTTGGTCTCAGCCTATTTTGGTCTAATCCCTGGGTACCAGTCTAGGGTTTAGGAATGTTTTTTGGCTGCCTGGAAATAGGTCTCTAACCAGGAGCAGGCCCTAAAGAGGTCTGCAAAGGACCAGTGAGTGCCCAGGAGAGTCAGCTCTCTCTGTCCTAGCCAGGAGCAGAAGTCCCCTTTGCATTTATGAGGAAGGGAAGGCAGTGCCATCTCAACGATCTAGCAGCTTGTTAACCCAACCCTACCTGCTTCCCAGATCTGCACAGCACAGGCCCAGGCAGCCTCCATGAGGAGAGGGTACCAGCTCCCTGAGAGTTAAATGGTCTCTATTTAAAAGCATGCATCCACAAAACCTCACCAAAGAGTGCTACAGTAAAAGCCACAAGGTTTCACTTAGGAAATGCCATAATTAGGTTCACCGCGTGACCTTAGTCCGGCCATCTCCTTGTGTGTCAGCACTGCAATACCATCTTTAATTACATTACACCGCATACTGTTTTTTCCTGCAGGACCCCAGCCTCCCTGAGCTCAGCAGACAGCAGTGCTCTCTGAATGGATCGCTACTCAATATTTTTCTTTGTCCTCATTACTCAGTGCCTGCCTTCATGCATTATTTAGCGCATGCCATCCAGCCCCGGAAACACAACACAGAACTACACGCTGCCTCCTGGCCTTTTCAGCAGGGCTTTGTCAAAGGCTGAATGGCCCCTCAGTAGGGAGATAGGGCTCCATCCTCCTGTCACCACCCTCCGGAAGGGGAGTCACGCTCTTCTCACCCACCTGTAAGTAGTTAAATGCTGAGTGGCTGCTGGACAACTAGCAAACACCTGGTCCTGATAAAAGGCTGACAGCCCCTCCAAGAGGGCAGTTTCTAGAAGAGAGTGGATGGTGCTTTGGGGGGAATCAGTCTGAAGCAAGACCTGCTAAGTTGCTGTAGGAGACTTTGCCAGTATGGGGGGAAGCTCTGTTAGTAGTTGGTATTGAGGGGACTGTGCTGCCAGGTGTGGGGTCTGTATGTAGGGCTTTTGGGTTGAGCTGGTTCTGGTGTCCCAGTGCCCAACTTGGGGTCTAACTCTTTCTCTGGAGGCAGGGGTTCAGTTGCAGTTCCTGGTGCCTGAGGTTCCTACCAGGAATAAGTGCCCTGTGCTTCAGCATGGTGAGTCTCAACTGGGTTTTGAAGTGAGCACTCAGGAAATAAAGATGGTGTTTGGATGGGAGGAGGGAGTTCTTCAGCATTTTTTTTGCTACTACAATAACTTTAACTCAAGTAGTTTGTCCAACTTCCTGCCCTGAGGCAAAGCGATGACTTTAAAAATGACTTTATTGTTGTAGGGGGAGCCTAATTGCTTAGCTACCTGACTTCCTCCTGCTGTGTGATGTTCCGCCTTATTGGCGATTGTATGTTTGTTTGTTTGTCTTTTTTTGGCTCTCTAAACAGAGGAGGTAAGGTCCTTCACCATGCAGGCCTGTTCTTTGCTGGAAGCCTATCCAGTATAGGTGCTGAAGGAGGGTGGGGGCAGATGGCATAAAACTACTTAAACCACTGTCTTCAACCTGTCTCTAATTTTGGTCTACTTAATGCTGCATTCCTTATGTTCTTATATCATTATTTGTTTGTTCTGACTACCTAGTGAAGTGCCCTGCTCCCAGAGCAGCAAGCAGTTGGGAGAGGTGCACCAAAATGATCCTTCCAGCTATGCAATGCTACTATGAACTATCAGCAGGCTTGCAACTGCTGTTTGCTCACCTGTTATCGAACTCAGTCACGTTGGGCAGCTGCTTCCGATATGTCTCTAGCAACACCCACTCAGAGCACTGGGCTGGCATGGGATGAGGAGGGTGAGGCTTGGAAAACCTAAACCGAACTGTGCCTGTGTATGTGAAGCAGATGTAGCAGTTCGGCATGTAAGTGGCATTGTACACAAGCCAGTCTGTGCTCAGGATGGCGTAGTCATGCAGGTGTAAGACAGCACCTGGTGAGAAGAAAAGCAACTCTAATGAGACAAGGCAGCTGAAGAGAAGGAAAGGAGCTTTAATGTGATAACAGTTTCAGCTTGCTCATCCAGGGGCATCTGGAAACGCTTCTAGATAGTCATGACTGACCTCTCCCATCAGTGAGACTGAGCGGCTGCTCTGCCTCCCTTGTGCTGGGGGATGTGGCCCACTCTACATCAAACACAAGGCAGACAGAGCGTGACAGCTCCCTGGGAGCAGAGGCAGGGAGGAAATCAATAGGGAGCTCTACTTCTCCACTGGGATGGAAAATGCTCTGAGTTATTAAAGGTCTTTCAGACAGACTTTGCTGTGAGCTGGCTCAGGCCCCACTGATTTAAAGAGGAGCTTTCACAGTAGGCAGCCATTCACGAGGCATGCTAGCTACCAGGCAGACCTGAACCAAGCCTCTGTATCTAAGCTATTTGAATCCCAGCATCAATTTTTGTGTCTACTATGTCTTGTCTTTCATCTCCTTGAAACTCTGGCCTACAACAGAATCCCAGACCATGACACAGTGGGGAATTAGTTAGATGCAGAAATAGTATCCACCTCTACCCCTTATCAAATACATGCTCACTCCCAATGTACATCTGCTGCCGGCCAGCACCATGCGCCTTTGGGAAGCTCTGTTACTGTGCAGTATGTTGGCAACTGCCTGAGCCTTCCTGGCATAGGAAACTTCTGTATGCTTACCTTGTTCAGCCCATCCTTTTATACTGTCAAAACCTCTCCTCTTGCAGAGATTTCTTAATGTTGTTGCCTGAACTAAACTTTCCCTCTAAATGGAAGATGCTGTGCTAGTGGAAGCTAAAGTCTTACAGATACGTATATTATTGGTCTAGGGGAGACCTCATAGTCAAAATAGCTTTGACCCACTTAAGGATAGGGAGGGAAAACAAGTAGCAGGAACAGAAGAGAAGACTGGTTGGCATGTGATGTTAGACAGACTGAAACTTCAAGACTAGTCAGTTGATAATCCCTCATTATAAAGAGTCTGACTATTAAATTGCTGGGCATCTGCAGTTACTGCTCTCACCAGAGCTAGAGTGACAGGCTGTGTTTGTAAAAGCAGGCCACGGTTGTCCAAAGCTTAGCCTCCTGTCATCTGCAGTACCACCCTCTTCCCTATGTGAGCAGCAATAGCTATTATAGTAGTACTTGAATTAATAGTATTTCCTAGGGGCTCTACTCAAGACTGAGGTCTTGTAATCACTTGTGTAAGACTTAGTTTTACAAGGATGTGCTCTTAGCTCTAAAAAGCTTACAGTTCTTACAAGGGCTCTCAGAACCTATTTTAATATCTCTTACATTGAAAAGTGTTAAGTTTTCTTTGTCTCCCTCTGGGTATCAAAGGTACCTTGTCTGAAGGGAAGAGGGATTTAGTTTTAAATTTCCTACTGCTCAACTCGGCAGTGAACAGATAATGCCCAGGCTGACATCCCAAGCACTTACAGTAACGTCAGGATGCTGCAAGCAGGGAGCCACGTCAGATCTAGGGAACAAGGCAGTTCTTGTCTATGCACCGGTGTCACTGCAGAGGAGACACCCTCGTGCAGAAGAGCTGACCTGTGACTCTGCTGAAGCTAGTCATCAGCCTGTTGCCAGGGAGCAGCATGGGCAAAGTCATGGGCCGCCCCACCTAAAAAGGGACCATCTGGAAAGGTGAGTTCATCATCCAGAGTAGTAGGGGTGTTGGCAATTTTCACTGAGTGCCTCTTGGCTTTAGTTAAGGGCACCTTATTCAAATACTTTCTCACTGAACCAAAGATGCATCAGGAGAAACCAGTCAGTTAGGTGTCAAGGTCTTCCTACTGCAATTGCCTTGATCTCCTGCCTTTCCACTGAAATGTCAGTAGCTCAGACATGGAGATGCCTGGCTCCCTGAAACCCAGCTTGCATTTCCACATGGCTAAAAATATCCTCTCCCACTCTCCAGTGCATCCTGGAGAGCTGTGATTTCAAATGCTGGTGTGTTCCAGGTGCTCATGACAGGATGCATAGGATATCATAAATGCATCAGACAGTCTCATGCTGTTATACAACCTGAATTGTTCCAAATGCCTTTAAAACTATACATGTGCTGCAGAGTATAAAGATGCCACTTCTGGTGTGGAGCGTGGCTGCCCATGAGCACATCCCTTGCTGAGCAACAGGGGAGAAACAGAGTGTCTTGACTAAAGACAATAGGACAAATGCCTGGCCTTATAAGCAGAGGTCTCCCATAAGTGGACAGAAGAGAACTTGGTTAAGAAGGACTCACCAAAAGAATACATTAGTTTTTTGTATTACATTCTACAGGTCACACCAACACAGTCTTTGACTTGCATTCAACTAGTAAAAGCTTGCAGTGTTAGAGGTCACACTGTTCCCCTCTGGTACCTTCAGATTTTCAGTAAATTTGCAGAGCTGCTGCATAACTGGCTGTAGAAAAGTCTTTTGAGTGGGTACAGTGCTGAGCTAAGGCTGGTGGCATGTCTTTGGAATGAGTAGAAAAGAGGCCCTTGCTGAAACAGGCTCAACAAGCAGGGATACCTGTAACATCTTATTTTCTTCCATTCCTCTGCCCTTTTTCCACACTTAAAAGGCTGAAAGATCTATATTGTAAGTTATACTAAGTGCTGCCATTGTTGGAAACCTGATTCACCCGGTTCATCCCCCTTTCCTCTTTTGTCTGCCCCCATCCCGAAGCTAAGCGACAGGGCTTTCCATGGGATCCAGTGCATAGTGTTCTTGGCTCTTGTAAGTTTGCTTGTGATCAAAGGTTTGCTGCATCTTATACTTTATCCTGGCTTTAGCATAGACAGTAGCAGGGGAAGGAAGGCTAGACAGGATGAGGAACCCATAGGCCAGAGCCTACCTTTTGGCATGCGCTTTAAGATGCTGAACACTGTGCTCTGATCAATGAGGCTTTTAGCCCGAAAGAAGTGCATGCTTGGAGGGAACAATCCTGTGTTCATGGCTGTAGCAACCTCCTCCTCCTTGAGGCTTACAAGCTTTGTACTGAGCTGCTGTTCCTGTTTGTCCAGTACCAAATTACCACCTGTCTGATGGGCTTTTTCCTCCTGCATTAGGGCATCTCTGTCCTTCCAGAGTGGGATGGGAAGACAGAGGGAAGCCAAATTCAGGAGAAGGTATGTCAGCCTTATACCTTGCCCAGATGGAGGCCTCATCTTAGAGCTGCACCTGGTGAGGGAAAAAAAATCGGTGTATAAGACACTGACATCTTAGCAATGACACATTGAGTCATTAAACTGCTGCTGGCCCATCCTGCAGAACTCTTTTAAAGGCACCATCTCAGCCCTAGTGAGACTGACTCACTGAATTATGGGATACTTGGTACTGTGGGAGCATCTAGTACCAAAACCTCCTGTGTTCAGAATTTTGTGTTCTCTGTGATGCTGTTGATGCACCCCACGGTTGTGGGCAGGGTGGGGAGGAAAGACTGCTGCACAGGAAGAGGCTTGTAGCACATCACGTGGACCTGCAATGCAGCAAAGGTCTAGCCTTAGGACTGAAGTCTGGTGAAGCTGGGACTCTGGCTTGCAAGCTAGGATGGAGCCCCCTCAGCATGATGGGCACTGGGGACAGGGTGCTGTGCTGGAGGCTGCTATGCCAGTGAGGGAAATGGGGACTAAGCACTTGGGGAGGCACTTTTGTGAGCGCGTAGGCTGTGCTGAAGTGCAGAGCTATGCGGATCCTGGCTCCCTGCAGTCAAAAAGACTTTGCTGCATCCTCATAGCATGTTCCAGCTACCAGAGGCTTTCGTTGACAGTTAGGCAACCCCACTGCTTCCTCTGTAGCAGTAGGAGCATGTCCCTTCCTTGCAAGCCCAGAAGAATGGGACAGGAAGGGAGAATACGGGAATAGTAAGAGCACGTAAATCACAGAAGACAGGCACATGTGACCTGAGATCTCTGCCCTTCCCCAAAAAGCACAGCTGCAATGTAATATTCCAACACCAGGCTTCAGTGACCCTCCACACCAATCCTACCAGCCCAAAGCAGGCTGGAGAAAGACTCAACATTTTGAAATGGCCCCCTGTGAATTATATATTACTTCCTGCTTGCACACATGCCTTCTGCTGCTAGCCTCTTCTCCACCCACAGCTTTGCTGGGGCTCCTCTACCCCTCTGCACCTCTCCCCCATCAGTCAGTCTCGCAGGATGAGAGTTGCTGGGGGAGAAAACTACTGGGGTCAGCGCAGCCCCACGTCAGGCCTGACTCTGAACCTGGAGAGAAAAACTCTTTAAAAGGCACCATCTCAGCCCTAGTGAGACTGACTCACTTACTGTTAATCTTTCTCCTCCTTGCATCGAGAGCTCATCCAACCGCAACAGGAGAGAGAGCGGGGGAACAGTTTTCTCTTGCGAGTAGAAGCTGCCACAGCCAAAGCTAAAGAAACAGGCTCTATCCCGGCCGTGCCAAACAAGGCGTGAGCCAGCCCAGCCAGCACACAAAGTTCCCCTTCCTGTACTGGAGTTTCGCTTTGCTCAGCTTTTATTTATTCCCCCCTCCCCTGTCCCTGCAGCTTCATGAATATATAAAGAGGAGGAGGAGGCAGGAGAGCTTATGAGAAAGAACTGCAGGAAGGCAAGGGGCTGCTAGCCGGGTGGCCAGGTGAGGGGAGCTGTGCCTGTTGCCCGGGCTGGCAGGAGACAATTCCAGCGCTGCTGGGACCCAGCAAACAGGAGAGCCAAAAAAACCCAGGAGAGCCAAAGCCGCAGAGTCACTTCCACAAGCACCCAGCTCCTGGAGCCTGATAGTACTGTGACTCTTTAACCCTTCACTGGGCAATCTCTGGCATGTCTCTGCAGCCCTGCTGCGCATCCTGGTACTCCTACACAGCTTTTAAATATCCTTGAAAAAATACTTAGACGTTCCCAATGCAGGGAAATTCTGAAGTCCCAGGTATGAACTTGGCTAGTCTAATCCCATGTAGAGTGCCACGCTTTTAATGCCATTTAATTTAACAACACTACTGTAAATTCTATTTAATTAAAATTTTTAATCTGAGAAAATAGGAATTTGTAAAGGCAGTTTTAAATGATTTTGCCTAATCCTTGCCAACTATGCAAACCAGGCCAAAGCCAATCCAACTGGACTCACCAGAGTCGAATTTGGCACAAGGGATAAACTTTTCCCTGTGGGGTAAATGTGAGATTAGTGAGGACACAGTTGTTAAAACTGATCTGATTTGTTTTTGTTTTAAATTCATGGCAAATGTTGTAATTTCACTGTTTTATTTTGCACAGTTAAATAGGCTGGGTTTTACACTTACTTAAAGCAGATGTTACATAAACAGCTTTCAGTGGAGAACAAAGTCCACTTCGTTTAATTTAACCAAAATGTTAATGATTTTATTCTTTTTAATAAAAAAGAAAGATATTGTAAGTCAACAGTTACTGAAAACAACCAGCAGCAGTCAGAAAGACCATTTTTAAGGTAGAGAAAATACCTGGTCAGTACTACCTTGAATTTGATCACCACGTGCTACTGCAACTCTGAGTAGTACAGTGGACAGCACTCCCCAATATTCCCTCTGGACACCAGCCAGATATACCCTGCCTTCTCTCCTCTTCTGATCTGTTCACCCTTTGCTGTCACCGAGATCAAGGCTGGTGGTAAAGAAAAAAAAAAAAAAAGAGGGGGTAGCCCACTTCATTCAGGGAGCAGTCAGGATTTCCTAGTCCTGTGCACCGTGAATGACTCTTCTTTTGAACGCCAAGTATGAGAGCATGTGTGGAGGGTCACTGCATCCTCTTGCCCACTCTTCAGGAGGACAGGGCTTTTCTTGAATCCCAAGATGATCCTGCTCTCAAGGAGGGATCAGAGGAGTGGAGAGTTCCCTGAGCTCGAAGGACGCCCTAGCTATGGAAAGCTCCACAGCAACTATTAGTTCATTAAAGCAGTCCAAGGATCAGAGGTAGTAGGAGAGACTGAAGAGTGAGGCATGTAGCGTGGAAAAGGGAAGGTTCAGCAGGGACAAGCGTTCTGCCCATAAATACCTTCAAGGGAACAATATAAATGAAGGAAGAGAATTGCTCTAATTATCTCAGAGTAGTAAACCCTGGAGTTAGGACCATAAAACCAAATTCAGGCTAGGCAGTTAGAAAAATGTCTTTGCAGTGAGCAATCGGGCACTAGAGACAGGTTCCAAGGGAAGGGTATTGAGACTGGTTAAAGCACTGTGTGAAGGGCCTCAAACAGCAGTTCACAGCTAGGCAGCGCTCTGAGAAATGCCTGCCAGAGGGCCTCAGATACTTGCCTGTTTTGCAGCACTGATTCATCCTGCTAAATTGAGTTTGAAAAACAAAACCAAAATCCAGTGCTAAAACACTTCTTTAATGGGACTTTTCCACATAAGCAATTGTAACAGTTGCCAGGAGAATGCTATACAGATGTTGAGAGAAATGAGCTAAGAAATAAGAAGGTGTTTGAGATGCTTTGCTCCCTATTAAAGTGTGGCCTGTGCTCCAAAAAAAAAAAATCACAGGGAGGCTGCACTAGTGAAATAAGAATGAAGTTGCTTTTAGACAGCTCCCCTATGGCCCTTAAGGATGAAAGGGATGGAGGAAGGGAGAATGGGGTAATGCAAGCCAGAGTATGGTTGTCACCAGTCAAAAGCCCCATTTGTGAGAGGACCTGGGTTCTTCTAGTGCCTGCAAGTATTTGCAGCTTTGGTGGCAGGCCTTACTGGGAAACAAGGCATGAGAGAGGAAGACTTGCCCTGTATAAAGGATCGACAAGGATTATTATAGCAGTCACTTCCAAATTGATGCGTCTCTTAGCTAGTTTGGATTGTTGCTGACAAAGGGGTAGCCTGGCTGATGGCTGTGTAACAGCTCTTTGAGTCTGTCCATGAGCCTGCTATTGCAGTTTCGCTCCAGTCCTGACTCGCTCCTGAAATAATCTTAGTTTCCCTGGCTAAAACAGGTAGGGGTAGCAGTTATGCCTGCTCCCTCCTCAAATCTGCACAACTATTTCCTGGTTTCTTGAGTGGCTTCTAGGCCTTGCTGACCTCTATGCTGCTGCAGCCATACTTACCAGTTTCCAAAAGTCCTGTTTTAAAGCTGTCTTGGGTATGTCTGTGCAAGCTGCAGCTTTGTCTAAGCCCAGCTGCACATCAGATGCATGTGAAAATTCATGTAGCTGGTGGCCGCCATTTAGTGCACTCAGTGAAGTCGTCTTGGTTCAGTTTCAGTTCCAGATGTGAAATAGTCTTTTTAATTCTTTAGAGCTTCTTTTAGGCGACTGCTACCATCTCCCCAGCGATGTGTTTCCCCACCATTGTACCCTGTCTCCCAGCTCACCCTCCTCTATCTTCCCTGCTGCTGCCACATCTGGATCTCTGCTCCCACATTCAGACCCTTGCAGTAGCAGCGGTGTGACGGGGAGCACCAACTCTGTCCCCAGCAACAGAGTGCAGGGAGAGGTGAAGGACTGCAGGGGCAGCAGTGTCTGTGGACTTCTATTTTGCACTTCATCTTTCTGCTTGGCACATCACCCAGAGTTTTACAGTGTTCTGCTAAGTCCATCTTTCTGCTGCAACCTCTGTGTGAAAGATCAGCTTGCTGCATGCCGCTGTGAGTATTTGCCCCAGATGAAGGCCCCCTGAAGTCCAGTTAGATGGTTTGCAGACCAATGCAGAAATCACAGCAGTGACAAAGCCAGCAGCAGTTAGAACTAAGGGTGGTGCAGCTCCAGCTTGCGCTTCCTGTGTGGGCAATGCATTTTGCATAAGCCATACTCAGTGCCTTTTCCCGACCAAGAAGCATTTCTGATAGTACAGAGGACTGAAGTGTCTTTTAGCTTCTTAGCCATTCAGAACATGCTTAAATCTAAGCTGTGCTCTGGAAATACCACTGTCAGCCCAAGAAGAGGAGGTTGGAGCCAGGATACGTGTTCCCAGCTCTATTAGTTAGATATTTTCTCTGTGCCAGCTGCCTTATTTGTAAAAGGGGAACAGTTACCAACCTAGCTCCCCTGCTGACAGTTGTGATTATTTACTGTATCTGCTGGTGAAATAGCTGCACTCGCAGAGCCAGCTGCTAGATGACTGTTCTTTTAAAGCAGGTGGGCATAGTGGTCATAGTCTAGTTTTGAAAGAAAAACTGTGAGGTGGGACAAGGAAGGGGAAGACAGCCATATGTGAGCAGATACAGCATTTAATAAGGACAGTCTCTGGAAAGTCTGCTTGCACCCATGCCTCTCCCTGCTAGGCTTGCAGCAGAGCACAGTGACAGTCTGTGCTCCAAAGCATTCATAGTCTCCCAACCCCCTATTAATTCTTGTGAAATGCTTAGAACATGTAAACATGCAAAATACTATAAATTATCATTAAGACTAGACTAGTCCAGGATGTTTGGGATGATTAAAACCTCCCCACCCGTCTGCTTTTGTCTGTCTGGGCAGGGGTGGTATTTTTTTGCCTTTTTTTTCCCCCTCTTCTTTGTGCCCAGCCAGGCAAAAGTATGGGTCATTCACCAGACAAGTGAGGAGGTCAGTTGGAGACCTGCAGCAGAGAGGAAGCCAGTCTGCCATGGGTTGCTAGCAGCATTGCATCCCAGCCTGCAACGAGCTCAGCTCACCCTTACGGTGCTCCCTCCATGTTCAGAAACACTCCCTTTCATTAGCTGCCTGAGCGTCCCATCCATCTGTCTTTCCTTTCCTTTCCTTCTCAGCTACATCCACAGCCATCTGATGACGTTTAAAATAAATAAGAAACTCAAGAGGCTATGAGACCTGGAACAAGTAATGGAGGGAGTCAGGGAAAAAGCAAAACTCCCAGGTTAACGATGAATCACTCAATGAGTGCAGTCATTGATTTGTAATCATTGCCTGGCTCCCAAATATAATAGCTGCGAATTCCTCTGACCGGCGACTGAGACGAGGCACTTTAGGCTATTCCCAGCACACTTACGAAAATTCAAATCCTTCTTGCTCACAAGAGCAGGTCTTGTAGCTCGGGGAGCTCAGCAGTTTTATCGACGCTAGCACCGTTAAAAAGTGGAGTCAGCAGCGCTCGCCAGCAGCAGCCTGAACGCGTGCCAGTCTGGCACTGTGCTGCTGCTGAGCTGAGCTTTCAAATAAATAAGTCAAACTGCATCATTCCCTCCAACGCCCCCCAGGGCTGTTCCCTGCTGCTGTCACCCTGCACCGGAGCACCGGGCAGGGGAAGTACAAAACAAAGCAAGCCAGTGGGTGTTAGCACCCTGTCACGCTGGGACCAACCTGCAACCTGTCAAGGCGGGGGAGCTGAGAGCGCTGGGTACTTTGGGAAAGGGGCTCAGCGCCGTGCAGGGCAGGTCCCAAACTCTTTCCAAGGTTTCTGTGTGAAGGCTCCCAGCAAACATTAGTATGAGTTTACTATTTGTCTTTTCTCTTTCCTACCTATTAGAGGCAAAAATGAGTGCAAACTAGGCAACAGAAATACCAGAAACATCCTGAAT